GTTTCATTGGAACCGATAGTTCATCAACAATCAAAGTTGGGTTGGCAGGTGTCGTCTCAGTGTACGGTGAAATGTCTTCCAGCAACGACCGATTCCTGTGTGATTCGGATGAAGTTCTGTCCGATTAGTGCAGTGTACCACAGATTCGATCTGAGGGCATTTTTCGCCAAGAATTGAGTGGTGAAACCTCCCGATCCCTGATAGTTTTACACCAAAATTATCCGAAAATGGCCCTGGTAGCATACGGGCTCATCGGGTCGTTCCACGGCCTAGCATCGTGTTGAATGACTTACTTTATTACATGGAATGCGGATACAGTTTGTTTGCTTTGAATGAACGGTTTTTGGGAACTCGTTCACCGATGACTTCCTGTCAGAATCTCATCCATTCAAGCCACAACGCAGAGCTATCCGTTATGTACTGCAACAGTCCCCCTGATACAACGCCATACCAGGCTCCTTCTTCTGATTGTTCGCGGTCTTTTGCCGACCTACTCTTCCGGGTACACATTGACCCTTTGTTTTGTCCAGTGGACAAGTCAAACAGTTCCTTTACTTTAGTTTGCCCGTGGTCATATTATTGATCCAGTACAGCGAAAATGTTCGTTTTCCGCAGCAATCTTTTGTGGACCAACGTGACAAGAAACAGTCGCTCTAGCAGTGGCGTCATGTGATGTTGTATCACTGTATTCTTTCTTCCCCAACTATTGGATAAAGCAATTTCACAGTTTGACACTGCATTCTTCTGTGCGCTTTGGGGGTTTGGGATTGGAGTTGGATGAACCCCAAGGAACGAGAATGTGACTATCTAACTGACTGATATGCTGTCCGCAAGAAAACTGGCCACTTCGGATGTTTAGATTAGAGATAAAACAAACTCAGGATCTCGCTTTAAACCACCGCTCGACACCACTGGACTTGCACTCTTGCAATGGCATTGACACTGCTTGTTGCTTGTATCGTTTTAGTTGTCCATGAGGCCGTTCCTGTGGACCGTTTGGATGTGGTTTTTGTCAACTCATCCCTAAACAGTCACAAGAAAACAATGTTATTCACGACGTGTGAAGTAGTATCGATTTGGGACCTATGAATTTCCTAGTTCGCAGCTTAGTCTATTGCTCAGTCCATAGGAAGTTCCGAAACTTGATCTGTTGGTTAGCTACAGACCCTTCGAACAAACTGCTTTCGTGTCAGTCTCTTCCATCATGAAAACTTTTGATCTCTATTTCAGCTGACTAAAACAACCCTATGGACCAATCTGACTGTACCAGTGCGCGCTCAGATCATCCCCACACCAAATCGGTCGTAAGTTTGTTGTTTGTTTATTCTTTGCCTTTTGGTGATACGATGACCAGCTCCCCAGCTTTGGCCAGCTGAAC